TGTGCCCCTGTTTGTTCCGTCCTGCGTGCAAGCGATGGCGAGATGTGTTCGTGTGTGTATAGCGAGATCATCAGGAGGAGGTTGACAACCATTCTCCGCCATGTATGTCGTAATCGCTGCTCGAAAATCGGTTCTGAAAGGGAGCTCTTCAAGTATCTTACACGCATGACTGTCAATGTCTTCCACCTCGCATATCTTGTCCTGATCGATGTCGAACCAGCGCAGTTGAAGGATTGACGTATCGCGTAGTGCCAGGGTGTTCATCCCCGTTGCCATACTGTCCGTCACAGAAGACCTATTCTCGACGGCCCTCTTCCTCCTTTTCCTCACAAATCCGGTCTCCTCCTGCAACGCCAGCGACCGGCGCACGTGGTTGACCATCTGGGTTGACGCTTTCCTTTTGTTCGATGACATGTACGGTTGTTTGCAGAATCTCCTGTGGTGATGCTCCCAAACGTCTGCAGCGAATGTGTCGGCCACACCAGATCGCTCAATACTCGTTCTCATATGCATAAGATCATGCAACTTCGAGAGTTTCCAATTTGATGGTTGGTATCTTCCCAATTTCGCTTTGATGGTCGTTACAAAGTCCGTCATCAACGCGTCACATTCGTCGAGGGAAGCTCGAGTGTGTGCTGTGCGCCGAAACAACCGTACGTACATTTGCATCAGCTTAACAAAACAAGCGGTAATGCCCTTGCCTGTCGAGCGCGGGATTATATTAAAAATGAGGAACACGCTCACTGTCATCACAAACCGGTTTTGCTTCGCCTCGAAGCGTCCCTCTCGAGAAAAAAAATCGCTGCCTGTGGCCACGGGCATCACAAGTTGGGGATATGTTCGCGTACATCTCTCACTAACGCGTTGCAATCTCGCATCGAGTTCCTTCAGGATCTCTGTTTGCGGTGTGTTCGGCAACTTCTCAAAGGCTGCCACCCTGAATGCGTCGATCATGTGCAGGAATATGCCGTGTTCGATCGTGTGCATACGGTCTGATTGCAATGCGAGGTGGTAGTCTAGCTGAGGATCATCGCCACTCGGCCCCCTGTAGAACCCCCAAAGGCCGTTCTGTTCAACATGCCTATGCATGTCCAACTCCGCCATTCGCCCTTCCGCCGCAGGGCGCACGTCATCGTCGTCCGCCGTGAACACAACTGCTGCGAGTTGAGTTTCCAGCGTCTGGGATCTCCTGCTGTCCGTGAAATCGGCCACGACATCGAGGTCCGTTTTCGACACGGTGCATGTAGGGCATACACCAAACTTYACATTCGCCAGCGCACATCGCTCTGGGTAGTCCTGTATAYAGTTGAGGARGAAAGGGTGGACAGTCACGTCCCCGAATCGCGTCGACGGTATCGTGATGCCGTCATGCGATGCCTCCTTCGCAGCTTGCAAGACCGTCGAAAGGGCCTTGTGGAAGATGACGGYCTYTCGCTTCCTGAATGCGGTGGAYTGTAGACCCCATCCTTTGTCACRGGGTCGATGATGAAGCACGGGAAGATAGGCCAGCAGASTGGCTTCCGACGCGTGGTCGGCTAGCGACATCATAAGAGGGTATGCCGTCTGTTTCTGACGACCGTCTGTGTGTGTCTTGTCGGAGTACAGTAAGAGAGGGATTACATATCGTGAATATCCATTCTTGTCGACACCTTTGTGCGCTCGAATGATTGATTGCGTGTGATAACTGAGCGCCCCGCTGCGCAGACCGGATACACTGTTGTCCTCTGACGGCGGGGACACCTCGAGGGAATGAACCGTCTCGCATTTCTGCAACGCTGTGTTATAATCTTGGCTATTGTACGATGCCCACCCCTCCTTCAACACACACTTTCCGCAGCTGGCAAGACACATGACATCCCCTCCGTCTGACTCCCCGTTTGTTGTCTTCGTGACGTGGGCGGAGAACCACTTCAAGACTGCGGTGCGTCTTTCCCTTTCAATATCCAGCCATGCCTGAAACTCGTCGAACGTGGTGTTCTTCGTTTCAGCAATTGCCTGAAGTCTGGCTGACATGTCCTCCCTCAGACGAGTAACGTCTATATCTTTCATGTTGTCAAACAACAACCAGAACATGGTGAACATCCTGTGCTCCGCAGTTTCTGTCATTTCGTCGAGGAGCGACTTGAGGCGGCGTAGTTCGTCTGACATCTCTCTAAGCAGTACTTTCTGCTTATGCACCTCCTCTGTTAGCCTGCCTATATGTTCTCGGTCGTTAACTACAGTCCGACCCCTATTTCGATCCGTTTCAGGTGTCTTATGGTCCTTGCCGCGTGGGGAAGGAACTCATCCATCCTTGCATGACACTCTCCGCCCAACTTTCTTTTCTGTCCGGTCGTGGTGAACCTTGACATCTGGAAAGCATTGTATATACAGAGAAATACGTGGACACAACAAGAGAGAGAGAGAGAGAGAGA